GTTTTTTTTTTTTTTCTTTGCTTTTTTTTTTTTTTTTTTTTTGTACTGGGAATCAAACTCGGGGCCCTTGCGCTTTCAAGGCAGGTGGCAGAACCACTGAGCTAAATCCCTAGAACTCACTATGTAGCCTAGGCTGGTCTCGAACTCACAGTGATCCTCCTGTTTCAGCCTCCGGAGTGCTGGGATTACTGGCATGCGCCACCATGCCCGGCCCTTGCTTTGCTTTTTGAGACAGGTTCTCACTATGTGGTTCAGGCTGTTGTCAAAATTGTGAAGATCCTCCTGCCTCACCCTCCCTGAGTCCTGGTCTTCATTATATTTTTTACTATTTCTGTCAGAAGACAAAATTGCAGTGTTAAAAATCTTAATTGGCTTTTACATGCAATTCTGGAATGGGGTGACACTTTATTCTGTAAAATAGCATGGGCGATCTGAGGAGCCAAGCGCAGGAGGTTGGTTTTATAGACAGAAAAGGGCTGAGGAAAACAGAAACCAAAAAAGGCAGATTGTTTGTTTTCCTATAAAGGTTAAAGTAGACAGCTGGCTAGCTCCAGGTGGTTAAGGCTTTGGCTGTTATCTCTCTCCTGATTGCTGGGTTGGTCAAACAACCTTTGCTTTGGCAATGCAGTTCTTTAGCATGAGTGACTCCATTTTGGTTTGGCCCACTGGGCCCAGTGCAGGAGCTCAGCCCAAACCAATGGCCTCCTGTGCATTTTATTTAAGCATGGGGCTTGGAGGAGTCAGGAGACGTGGTTTTGTTGCTTCTGTTGGGACATGATTTCTTTGGTGCTGGGTTTTGGCTTCTGCCCAAAATGTCTGTCACCCCCTTCATCTTGCCAGTGCCTTGGCAGCACCGGCCATCTCTCTCCTGCCATGGAGGATGTCTGCTCCTGGACCTATAATTTTAGTTTGTTTTTATTTTTATGAGTCCATGTCTGCAGCAAATAATGATTATGTTCATCATGAGGAGCTGGTGCATGTACATAACACATCTTAATCCTTTTTACGTCCCCTTCCTTTCCTACTGACTGCAAAAGATCTACCTTCCTGTTTCCTATTATCTTTTATTTTGCTCTTTTATTTATTTATACTTTGTGTTTCTCATATAAGAGAAGCCATATGACATTTAAACCCCTATGTCGGATTTATTTTACTTAGCATCATGGTCCCAGAGTGCTGGCTTACAGGCATGTGGCCGTCATGCCCAATTGCAGCCCATTTTTAATGTCATTGGTTAAACCCAGCCTCCTGCTCCTATGACATTTTAATGGCTTTAGGGGGTTTCTGGACTGTCACACTCTGGTCTCCCTTGCAGCCAATCGAGTCTTGCTGATGATGCCACTGACCAGGGCTAGAAGGGGCTGCAGGCTCTACTTGTGTCCCAGACAGGAAGTCATCGCCCACCACGTCGTTCTACTTCCTCCTCTGGCTCTATCCGACCAATCTCCCCTTGACACTTTTGGATCAGTGTATAACCCCACTTAGAAGACTCATAAAGGCAGGACGGGCTGGACTGGATCAGAGCCAGTACCGAGAGTGATCAGTCCAACCAACTGTGGCCTAAGGACAAGGAGCCAGGCCACAGCCAAAGAAGAAGGCGGACCAAAGAGGAGACCCCTTCCCACAGATTCTTTCCTTGGGCCTCAGGTCCCTCCGGAAGTACACTGATGTCTTTCAAATGGTCCTTTTCCTACTCAGTTAAGATGTAGATCTAGAATGTCCTCTAAGGCCTCCTGTGTAGAATGGGGCTTTTGGAAGGGGAGTGGATCATGGGGGTGCAGCCCTTATCTGTGGATTAATAAACTGAGGATTACTAGCTGACTAAGCTGTTAGGAGGAGGGGTCTAATTGGAAGAGGTAGGTCCAAGGGTGTGGCCAGTCCTGGGGTGTGACCTGGAAAGATACTGGCGCCTTCTTTCTCTCTCTGCTTCCTGGCTGCCATGGGGTGAGCAGCTCTCTTCCTCCCACCCTTCAACCATGCTCTTTCTGCCTTGGAAGAGCTCGCCATGGACAGGAACCTTTAAAAACTGTGAGAAAAAAAAAATGTGTGAGCCAAAACTATCTTTCCTTTCAATTGTGGGTATTGGCCATTTGTCCCAGTAACAGAAGTAAGACAGTTAAATTGGATGGCTAATGCTTAAGCAAAAAGAAACCTGACCAACAGAAATCATTAAATTCTTCATAGTATGCTATAGAGAAAATAATTATAACAGTAATGCTCAGAACCAAAAGGAAAACAAAATCATAAATTGCATCCTGGGCTATAGGTCATGCTCGTTCATTCCCGACATGGTTTTACCTAACTCTCACAATAGTCCTTCAAGATTGGTATCACTATCATTTTTCAACTGAAGAAATGAAGGCTCAGAGAGCTTAACTTGTTCAGGATCTCACAGCTGAGACTTGGGGCCACATCCAGAACTGCAGAGTTCCTTGGTGCCTGCAGGGTACATCCACCTTCTGTTATGATTCTGAAGACCATGGGTAACTCTTGGTATAAAATAGAGATGATACATTTAATCTAAGTGATTTGTAAGCTATCTGTTCATTGGATCCCCAAGTTAGCCCACAGAGAAATACAGTATGATTTTGTTCTGTCTTGTTTTTGCCGCTGGTGACTGAATTCAAGACCTGAACTACATCCCAGCCCTTTTTTATTTTGAGACAGGCTCTCACTAATTTGCTAAATTGCCCAGGCTGACCTCAAATGTGCAATTCTCCTGCCTCAGTCTCCCAGGTAGGTGGGATTATAGGTGTGTTCCACCATGCCCAGCTTCAAGTGTGGTTTAAAGGACCTTTGCGTATGATATACATATATGATATATATATATATATTTTTTTTTTGTTTGTTTGTTTGTTTGTTTTTAGGTGTCAGATGGCACCAGCAGTCCCTTCTATATCAGCTTTTCTGTCAAATTTTTCTGGGTTGATGCTTGCATGGTGAATGTAGTGTGCTTGAGTATATGATGACTTCTTTATTGTTGGGAGGAAGGATTAATATTGGGATTTGTATTAAACATTAAACTCCCTAGTTAGAATATTATTGTGTAAGGAACCTGTTCCCCTTACATGTCTTTAACAAATGAGCATAGATAACTAGATTTTTTTTCCCTTGGTGCTGGAGATTTAGCTACCACTGAACTCCCACCCGCAGCCCTTTTAATTATGAGACAGGGTCTTGCTAAGTTGTCCGGGCTGGATTTAAACTTGTGATCCTCCTGCTTCAGCCTCCCCGAGTGCTGCGATTATAAATACACACCAACATATCTATCTGTTCAGGGGAGGGGTAGTGGTTGAGACTTGGGAACTTCAGCAGTCACTTGTTTGCCAAATTTTTGCCATTTTTTTCTGCCAGTTATGTAAAAACAGTTTGTCATCTCTGTATTAGGAAATCGGTTTTCATGAAATGATCCCCTGCTACATGTGGCGCAATTCTTTCATTTTCCTGTGATTCTATTTTAAGACGTTCCCTGACTTGATCTTCAGAAGATGTACATCCGGGGCACTTGGTGAATGCCAGCTGGAAACGATCCGAGCCAGCAGCCTGGCTAGGATAGGGGCCCCGCATGGACAACTGCTGCTTGAGTCACCGTGTTCTGGCAGAGGTGATTGGTCCACTTTGGAATCTGATACAAACTCTACACCTTTTCCCAGGCACACACACATACACAGTATTCTACACCATTTCCTAACGTTTTTCCTCCGCTCCCCGCCAAGCACGTTCATGGATGGCCCAACCTTAGTAGATGGCGGATTAGATCTAAAAATTCACCAGGGAGACGCGGCCTGTAGGAGCGGCCGCAGCCCAAGTTCCGATTTTAACCCACAGGTGGCGCTGTCTGGGTCGTCTGGGAGCGCCGTTGGGGCAGCCTGGATTGGGCCAATGCCTGGGGGGCTTCTTGTCCGGCCTGCAGCTATCAGGCCGGGCTCGGTGGGTACAAAAAGGCAGAGGACTGGCCTGGAAACATTAATGTTCCCCGGAGTTGACATGAAGTCGTCTCCCGACCCCGCACCTGCATAAGGAGCTCATTCCAGGAAGGAATGACGTCACCTGCCCTGTAGGGAAAGCCGAGGCCTGCGGGAGCATGGGCACCTTACCGAAGGTCCCCAGCCTTCTGCGCCCCGAGCCTGGAAGGCTTCGTCCTCCTCCTGGGGCACGGGGTTTGGGTGGGGCCTCGATGGGAAAGATGGGGTGAGCCAGGTACTGGGCAGCTTTCTGCAGTGCTGGGGTTCTTGTCGGGACTCCTCCGATAACTAAAGGGCGGTGGACGGCTCCGGGCTGGCGCTGGCCGATGTCCCTTTGGGCGCGGACTCCTCCGAGCTCCCTCGGAGTAGCTCAGCCGCCGGGCGATACATCCTTGCCCGACTTGGCGGCTGGCCCTGGAGAAGACAGGCGCCTTGAGGCCCCGCCCAGCACCGAGG